GATAAAAGCTTTATCTATGTAGCTGGAGTTACCCAGGGGTTTAAAGAAATGATATGCTCTGACTATCAATTCAAACTGGAATCCTTGCCATTCAAGTACTTGGGAGTTCCTTTATCCTCAAGGAGCTATCTATTCATCAATGTATGCCATTAGTGGGGAAGATTACAAACAGAATAAAGTGCTGGAAATCAAAACTCCTATCATACAGTGGCAGATTACAACTGATAAGAAGTGTTTTATTTGAAATGCAGACCTACTGGGGGCAGTTTTTTTTGATACCTAAGAAGATTATACAGCTAGTAAACTCCATCTGTAGAATTTTTCTGTGGACATGAAGTTAAAGTCCTTCAAAAAGATCTTTGATTTTCTGGGACAAAATATGCATGCTTGTATCAGCTGGAGGTTTAAATGTTATAAACTTTGAATGGTGGAACAAGGCAGCACTGTGTAAGCTAATGTGGCCAGTACATTCAAAGAAGGATGCTCTTTGTATCAAATGCATACACTCAATGTATATAAAGAAGAAGGATTTCAATATTATACAGACTCCTAACTAAGCTTGCTGGCTGGTAAGGAAGGTATTTGATATTAGAGACTGGTACAAAAACATTGAATTCTTTGCAAACATTAACAAGTTTTGCAGAAGGGGACAGTTCAGTATTCAGAAGATGTACACTCTATCAAGACCTCAGTATCCAAAGTTTGGGTGGAAAGCCTTACTACTGGGTACAAGTATCCCTAGACACAACTTTATACTATAGCTAGCTCTAAATCACAGACTTACTACTGTGGATAGACTAGTAGCATGGGGCATACAGGTTAACCTTGGATGTGTTTTATGTAAGAAAGGAAAAAATGAAACTATGGCTCACTTGTACTTTGAGTGTCCGTACTCAAGGAGCATATGGGACACTCTACTTAACTGGATAGGAGAGAAGCATCAGATTGGTTCATGGGAAGAGGAAGTCAAATGGCTGAGTGCAAAAATAAAAAACAGTCGAGCTTATGGAAGTATTCTTGCATTGTTGTTTGCAGCACTAATATACCATATTTGGATAGAAAGGAACATGCACAGATTCCCGGGAAAGGAGATTGATATGAAGAAGAAGTTACGAGACATTGTCCTTCAATTACATATCAAAGGACAACAGAAGGCAAAATGGAAGAAGTACTTAGAAAGAGTGAATAGTTTTCCTCTATGAAGTCTAGTCTAGTAGAGGAACTATTTAGTTTGTAAATGTTTATTTTTTATAGTATTTTGATGTTATCTTGAGTCTAACTCTTCAGTCCAAAAGAGTTAGAGGTGCTGTAAATATCATTTCTGGTTAAATAAAACAAAATTGATATTTGGCCCCAAAAAAAAATGAGTGCACCTTCAACCCAAAGGATAGGGTTCAATTCCTACTTTATCCCGTACAATTTATTAATCATGCTTTTTTTCTTTATTGTTTCCTTTTCTTTCTTGGTTCTACCTAAAGTTATTCTTTAAAAAAGCTTACACTAATAACGCAAAATCATGTATACATAAAACGATTTACATAATAGGATGGATGAGGAATTTTTTAATAATCTGTAGCTTGCTATATATACAACAATAACAACAACAACAACAACAACAACAACAACAATAACAACAACCCAGTATAATCTCACTTAGTAGGGTCTGGGGAGGGTAGTGTGTACGCAGACCTTACCCCTACCCTGGGGTAGAGAGACTGTTTCCAAATAGACCCCCGACATCCTTCCCTCCAAGAACTTCCCACCTTGTTCTTGGGGAGACTCGAACTCACAAAAAGTAAGTAATGATTATATTATTGATAGTTTTCAAAGTATAAAAATTTGTCGAGGAAAAATAATGCTAATAATATTAATTGGAGTTTGCTCGTCAAGTTGGATAATTATAAAAAAAAAAATTATATTATCAAGTTATATATTTATAAAGATATTAGTGCACCTACGCTCTTACAATCCTGGATATGGCTCTGATTCATCATTCCCTCGTGCTAACGCATGAGAGAAGAAGATAATTGAATGTAAAAAAGAAATTGCACAGAAGGATTATGCAAGAGAAATCTTAGTAATGGAATTCATATAGAGGCCATGAATCTCGGATTATTTGTTCTTATAGGACAAGTACCTCAAGTATCTGAAAAGTTAGAAAGTCGATTATGATTAGAAGTCCATGTAAATTCCTATTCTATCCTGCATAATATAATGGTTGAACAAATATTTTATGGGCATAAAAGTCGATTAATATTTTAAGAATATATTAATCGTTCATTATTTAGCGTAAAATATTCGTATTTTTTATAATTAATATAGATATAAATATAGAAGTTGGATATTTTTGAACTACATTTTAGTAAAATAATGTTTTAACTAATTTTTTCTTTGGATATTACAAAAAAGAAACGTCGGAGTATTATAGCAAAAACTGATCTTAAATAAAGATAAGAAAATCACTTTTTGGACAAAATTGATAAGAAATTAAAACCGATGGCGTTATGAGGAGCATAATTGTTGAGGATATGTATGACTTTTGGAGCTATTTCTGCTATTGAAATTGAGGAAGGAGTAATAAATGGCAGAAAGTATGACAAAATGATTTAGGTTTGTTTCTTCTAATTATTCGGAATTAGGTTTGTACTTTGTCCAATGTTATTGCCCAAGTCAAATTAGTATTGCATAACGGCTAATATTACACAGTTTCATCTTTTAGGATAATATCCTTCTAAAATTAATTTAACTTTTAAAAAATATAAAAATCAATTAATATTTCGAGGATATTTTCATCGTTAGTGTTTACAATATACAAATTCAGCTATTATTTTGAAGAGTAGCTATTGTGTAGAAATCCTTCTTATTTATTATGAAAAAAATGATATTATATAGTCCATTTCAAAATAATAATCGAAAAATATATTATTTATATATTAATAAAAATATATAATTTTATACACTTTTATAACTGAATAATGAATATCAATAATTTTAGTCGTGGGCTAAATATGATAAAAATCCCTTTATTATTTATGAGGAGCATAATTGTTGAGGATATGTATGACTTTGGGAGCTATTTCTGCTATTGAAATTGAGGAAGGAGTAATAAATGGCAGAAAGTATGACAAAATGATTTAGGTTTGTTTCTTCTAATTATTCGGAATTAGGTTTGTACTTTGTCCAATGGTATTGCCCAAGTCAAATTAGTATTGCATAACGGCTAATATTACACTGTTTCATCTTTTAGGATAATATCCTTCTAAAATTAATTTAACTTTTAAAAAATATAAAAATTGATTAATATTTCGAGGATATTTCATCGTTCAACATCTAATGTTTACAATATACAAAATATTATCAGCTATTATTTTGAAGAGTAGCTATTGTGTAGAAATCCTTCTTATTTATTATGAAAAAAATGATATTATATAGTCCATCTCAAAATAATAATTGAAAAATATATTATTTATATATTAATAAAAATATATAATTTTATATACTTTTATAACTGAATATCAATAATTTTAGTCGCGGGCTAAATATGATATTTGCCCTTTTATTATTGGAATTTTTACCTCCTATAGCAAAGATTAATACTTTATTTATTTTAAATAAATATCCTTTTAAAAACTTATATTCTATAGATACCTTTTGATTTTTATAGCCAAATATCTATTTATGGTTACCTCCTACTCTTAAGCCATAAAATACTCTTTGTATTATTTTTTTCTCTCATTCTTTCAGATTTTTCTCCAT